GCTTTGTAGTTTGGTAATTTTTTGAAAGTACAATGCTATAATGAAAAATTAAAAAAAGTACAATGCTATAATGTATATGCAATATTGTGTATTATGTATGTTTAAGTGTATTTGCAAAGTAGAATGTTATAATGATATGTTGGTTATAGTTTGATATGTTGGTATTTTGTAGTTTGGTAATTTTGGAAAGTACAATGCAATAATTAAAAAATGAAAAAAATACAATGCTATAATGTATATGCAATATTGTGTATGATGTATGTTTAAGTGTATTTAGAAAGTAGAATACCATAATGCTATGTTGGTTATAGTTTGATAGTTGGTATTTTGTATTTTAGTAATTTCTGAACAATACAATGTTATTATGATATGTTGGTATATATTTTGTTTTCTTTATAATTGCAAAAAGACCTGACCTGTAGTGCAACATGAGAAGACTGGTTTCGATCGTTGTCGTCACGAAATGAAAACGAAGGAAATGGGGGGAGTGATAATGACAAGTAGCTAAATTTTTAGGATTTATGAAATGTTTTGTTTGAATTAGTATTTTAGATATGTTGCACCATGTTTGGATGAATATTTTGGATAGTATTAAGTGTGGTTAATGTTTCGAACTATTTTTATGCAAAATAAAGTTTCGTAGCAGTTTTTATACATGTTATATTGTTTTTTATAATTTCAATGTTAAATACAAAAAGAAAAAAAAAATACAATTATCCATGATGCCTTGAGCGGTGACGAAGAGGTATTAGAGCATCCACAATGCATAGTTTAATGAGAGAGTTGAATGAAGGGGCATGCCTAATTGGCATTTAATTGATTAAACTCTACAATTATGAGATCCCAGTTGACATTCAATGGGCACTGAGCTCTTCAATGAAAAAAAAAACCTTTTAACTATTATATATATATATATATATATATATATATATATATATATATATATATATATATATATATATATATATATATATATATATATATATATATATATTCCGTTGAATTCTAATGAGTTTCATGCATTGTAGAAAAATTAATGTAGAATTGTATAGTAAGTAAAATTATGATGTGTCAATCAATTAAACTCTTAAAAGTTTAATGCATTGTGGATGTCCTTAATGGCGACATGTTTTTTTTTTTTTTGCGGCGACAGGGCATTTGCAACGACGGTGAGAATTAGTGACCTTTTTGCTGCAACGCATCGTCGCAAAAGGCTTTAACGACAGGGGCGGAGGCAGGAATTTAAGATAAGGGGGGCTTCGACAATCAAAAGTTATTAAATAATTAGGAGAGAGTATGAACAAAATTTGATGAATTGATAGACTATAAATCAGTAATTGAAATAAATATAAATGTGATGGAGGTGGTGTGATTACCTAAGGCTCAATTTTGATTATCTCTTATATCATTGTTTTTTCACTATAACAATTGTTTTTTAATAAATAGTAATCTATATATTAAGTTCAAGTGGATGTGAACCTAAGTATATGATATGAATTATAAGTTATTGCAAAGGTAAAGGATGTAAAATGTAAAATGTAATATTCAGCAAAATAGATATGTAAATGATTTGCTCATGGTGAAAGCAAATGAACATTAACAAGTCTCACAAACACCCTAGGCAAATTGCCAAATTAATATATATATATATATAGAGAGAGGAGGGATGACAATTAGTTACAAACGATGGGCTAGATATTTGATTCATAGCCATTTTATCTCCAATATAAATGAGTTTATTAAAAGAATAGCAGGGGCAGGACATCCGGCAATCCCCCCACTGCCTCCGCCGATAACACACCTATATTTTAACGTGGACGCTTGTCGCCGCTAATGCTCCCATTTCTTGTAAGGGTGGCTAAGAAATTTTAGCATTTTGTCACACAAAAAGGATTTTTATGAACATGCATTCGATCTTTGCTAATGATATGACTAATTTCATCATATTATTTAATCAAATAAAATTGACTTTGTGTGAACCTTTGGTTGCATAAGAGCATTGGGTGTGGGCAACGAGGTGCAACACCAAGTTGTGCCACCTCACATGTCACCTAAGCAAATAGTGTTATGATACCAAGTGGAGAAATGAGCAACAAGTTACAACTAGATACAACACCAACTTTTTGAAAATAAATATTTTTATATTTTTATTTTTTTTTTACTATTTCGTTTTTAATTTTTACTTTTTTTTGCTTTCGTGTTTTTTTCTTTTTGTTTTTTTAATAACTAATATATTTTTTATAAAACATATAATTTTAAAAACAAAAAAAAGACATATTTAAAATCTAAAATTCCGATTACAATTAAAAAAACATAATTTTAAACCTAAATTAATAACTAAAATACCATTCAAATTACTACTAAAACCACACCCATCCTAATTAACACAAAATTTTTTTCCCAATTTGTTCCTTCATCGCTTGTAGTACCGCTAGATCAGCAGGCGCTAAACCATCCTCGCTTATCCGAAGAATTGACAACTGATGTGTCATTAGTTCCCTCTCTTTTTGTTCCTGCTTCTCCCGTGTTTGCCTTTCCAGGAACTCCAAATGACGACGTTTCAACTCATTTTTTTTTCTTTTGTTAATAAATTATGCTCGTCGAATTTGGCTCTTATTTCCGCCGCATCTTTTGCTCTCGTCTCCACCTCCTCCGCATGCCCTGCAGCGCGCCTCGCTTTGTCGCGTCCCGACAGTCGTCGTGGTGGGGATATCTCTTGGATATCATCTGGGATCTCATCGTCATCGGCGTTTAGGTCGATGTTAGTCCTTGCACCCGACACGTCGACCGAGCTAGAATTGCGAGACTTTTTGGATTGAACCTCCGGCGATGTAGGCGTTCTATTCCACTTTGGATCCGCTCGCAACAATTCCAATGGTTTTTCAAAGTCGAAAACATGATCCATTTCGACCCGATATTGTTCCTTAGCCGATTTGAAAAAATCGAAGTCGTTGGTTCCGCTTTGTTGTTACGCTTCAAGTCGGTTGTAAATACCGTTGAATTTGCTGCACCGCTTAGTTATCATACCCCATTTGCTGCTCAAAATGTCATTGTTGCGATAAGGATTTTTCTTTAAAATAGCATGAAACTTGTCGAGCACCGCCCCCCAATAAGCTCATTTTTTCATTCCATTTCCGCGAAGTTCGTCCTTTGAAGTAGCACACCAAGCCGTCGTCAAAGCGTATTCCTCCTCCGGTGTCTACCATTGTGGAACGTCTGCATTTTCATATTTCACCGCTATTGATTTCCCTTTTGATTTTCCTTTCCCTTTCCCTTTCTTGTTCCTACTACCTCCCGCTTCCGCTTCACCCGATTGTTGTGTTGTAGGCGATGGTTGGTTGGTTTGTTGTTGCATCGAAGCAAAAGAAGGGAAAAGATTTTGTTGTAAATTTGGGTTTTGACTGCCTTGATTTTGTTGAAAGAAAGGTGAGTTGGGAAACTGTAGTGGCGGTGAAGCGGGGTTGAAAGATGCGCCTTGATATGAGATCTGTGTTGAGCCTTGAGTCGATAAAAGGTTGAAATAACCTTCATAACCGGCAAACCCGACAGGCGAGGTTATGTTTGAGTTTGATGATGGGGAGGTGTTTTAGATTTGCTCCATTTTTTTAGAAAATAAATAAGAATGTAGATAAGATTTGAAATTAAATGAGTATATATATATATATATATATATATATATATATATATAAAGGTTATGTTTTTTATTAATGTATTTGACCGTTTTCAAACGGTAAGTTTTCCAATGGTTAAATTTTAGCTGTTTCTACTTATTTTCGTGGCCACAAGATCCGCTTGACGAGAAGCAACGAGATAAGAGGGCAGTGTTCCCTCCGTTACGACGCCGTCATCATGTGCCACATCACCGGCGTTATATCTCGTGTGTACCCATACCGTATCGTCTAAATGGATTTCCATTATCAAATATGTACGTCTCAGTTAATAATAGTGTCAGAATAAATCTAGATATCACTCACAGGTGTGAAATGATGACATTTAGCCACAATAAAAAAAACTGTGGTCGATACTGTTTTTCTACTTTAATTCCTACTAATCAAAACCGATATATAGACATACTTGAAAACCACAAGAAGCAAAACCACTCTTTAGCCGATTTCGGGCCTATAAAACAAAGTCTCGACCTTCTTTTCCTAACATTCAAATACATATCAGAACTTCTTAGTCTTATAATATTTGAACTTTACATATTATTTTATGATCAAGTGGGAAAAGTATTATTTTTAACTTTTAGATAGTAACGTTTTCATTTATCTGTTGTTTAAGATATATTATTTTTTAGAGTAAATTACATGAATGGTCCCTATGGTTTGAGTAATTTGCGCGTTTGGTCCCTAACTTATTTTTTTAACTCGGAAGGTCCCTACTGATTGTTTTTATTACGTGTCTGGTCCCTATTGTTTGTTTTTGTTACGCGTTTGGTCCCTGTCATACCTAAAAAGACTATTATTTAAATAGGAAAAAATAATGCAGTACGTAAGGTAAGGTGAGAAGGGTGAGATTAGGGGTGTGTTTATTTAAATAAATTAAAAAATAAAGGGAAAAATATATTTTTTAAGTAAGACAGGGACCAAGCGCGTAACAAAAACAAACAGTGGGGACCTTCCGAGTTAAAAAAATAAGTTAGGGACCAAACATGCAAATTACCCTAAACCATAGGGACCATTCGTGTAATTTACTCTATTTTTTATTCATTTTGAAGAATCTATTTTAATATTTAAACAATCGTCCTCAAATACTGTAATAAACCTCTTTTAATTAAAAAAACAGAGTTTAATTGAAATAGTGTTACTTTTTAGAGCATAATTATATGAAATTCAACGACTATATATTTCAAAGTTCAATGGGCAAAAATATATTCTTTTTAAATTTAAAATAGATGTTCCAACGTTTGTAATATTGAATGCGTTGTAAAAAGCGAATGATAAAAATGATACGAAAAGTAGAATAATAACATGAAAATATATATTAAAGTCTAAAAAGTACACCCTAGTAGTTATATCGACACATTTTTTTTTTTCATGTAATCATATTTAAAACTAAAAGCTTGCGTTCACGTCATAACTTACAAAAATTTGAAAATCCTTGAATTATATTCTAATGTCAAAAAGATCAAATGCTCTAAAGTCGTGGAACGACGAAAGTTGGAACGCTGTAAAGATTTATCTTCCTCTTTCAACATATGTACGTAGGACCACTAATGCTTTGAAATATAACAAAATCAACTATATATAACTTTAATGCAATCTGTATCAATCACAATCTGTATCAATCACAAATATCACAATCAAAAAAACTGGCACGAAGTAAAACATGTACATAGAAATTTTACACTACAAAAGATAAATAACATGAAACTCGTACTACCGAAATATTTCAGATATCAAGCAAACTATAGCCTTGCGATCTTCTTGGAAAGTGCATAAGTGTTGATCCAAACCAAGAGTAGAAGTGTCACGGAGGATGCGAGCGACAAAGCAATAGAGGCTCCAACGCGGATGCAGTAAGTATCGTACGTGTCACAGATCTCGTTCCATCTGCTATGAGAGTTACCTTTGAGTCCTACGTATGATACACCTCCTGATGCTCCTGTTGCTGCAGCCATAATACCTAATAGCAGCTGCACCATACCCGATTATAATTATATGTTAGTATCATTTTAATAGATAAAATTATCTTATTTTGTTTTGCTTATATACGGATAAAACATGGATTCGTTCTAAAGAAATTAGTGTGGTTCAGGAGCTTACTGAATCGACTATCACAAAATGAAATTTTAGCTTCGTTGAGGTTCCTCCTGGCTTCCTTAGTCCGAAAACTGATATTAAACCGGTGATGATGCTGTATAAAGCAGCAGTGCAGAGCGTTGCCAAAAGGTTTCTACATCATAAAAAGAGTGTAAATTAATATCATGCATGTCCCATAATAGATGTAGTTTATGCCAATGGTTTTGGTGGTTGAAGTTGAAGTTACTTACATATGAGCTGGGGAGTGACTGAATTTTCCAGTCCTGGATATTGCTATTCCGGGTGCAATCGGAATAAGCTCAGTTTGATTAGAAATGACCAGAAGAACGATAGCAGCCACGGTAGTTGCAAAAAGCACGACCCTGAAGAACACATCAACCACTGCATGCTTCTTGGATCCACCTGCGCCTCTTGTAGCACTGTACTCCGGTGGTGGTGCTGACGTCTTTAGTGGTACCTCCATACTAACTGCGGCATGGTTATGAGGAGGAATAGCGGAGTCACTGGATGCCATCGTTTTTAAGGATACACGTTACAGCAAAGGATAGTTTGTTAATTGTTTCTTTGTAGGTGTAGTTGGGTATATGGCAACAGATTCTACGTTTATATAGCAGTAGGGTCAACTGATTGCATGATAGCAATGATAACGGTTGGACGTTTCACATATGAATAGATAAATTTTATATGTCAATACGTTCACACAATCATTTAGGAAATGGTCAACAAGGGATAAGCATATTTGTAGATGGCTTGCTTTCGTTGAGAAGTACAATTTGTGGTCAATTTGACTTTGTGGAAAATCCGATTACGTTGTTTTTCTACTATTATATCATTATATGTGTCTTTAAATATCATAAAAAACAAATACAACGCATTCACACATATGACAAGCCATGACGAATAAATGAGTTACATATAGAACTTCGTGAATTATTGTAAACTGAGAGGTCATAGTTGGTATGTACTTGATCCGATAGTGGTATGGTCATTTTGGGTTGTCTTCTAAGGACTAATTTGATAGGATGGATTTTTGAGAAAGTGGTAATTTGTAATTTATTAATATATTACAAGAATGATATATTAATTGAGAAATCATATTATTTAATTTGAATTCATCAAGAATTAACTTGAAATTAATTTAGTGATAAAAAAAGATTCATTAAATTTACAAGGACTGATTAGGTAAATCATTAATACTTATAGTTTGGGCTAATGATCCATATTGATTAGGGATGGAATAAATATATGTAAGAGTCCATGAAGAGTTAATCAAAAGGGCCTACCATATGGGTTGTTGGATTGATTAAGGCCTAATTATATGAATTAGGGTTTCCAAGATGAAACCCTAGAGATTCCACATTATAAATACTAACCCTTGCACTCCCAAAATTGGCACTTGTGTTCCACGATGAAACCATAGCCGTTTGGTGCCTCTTAACCTCTCTCTCATATTCCTCCATTTTATTTTGGTTTTTGTGGCTTATTAGAGGTATCACAATTGAGTTACTAAGCTCTTGAAAGGCCAATAACTATAAGCTATAACTAAGAGGTATTCATCAAACTAGTTTTTCTTTTTCCTTTTTTTTTTTAATTTATTTATTTATTTATTTTTTTGTTTGTAAATCTCCAATTGTAGACTAGTTAGGGTTTGTGCTTTGGATGAAATGAAATTGCATGTATGACTTGAGAAAAATTAAGTCTAAATCATTAGAGTTGTATGTGCACTATAGGATTGTTATAGTGCTCAAAACCCTTCAGTGGTATCAGAGCCTAGGGTGGTTTCTATTATATTGATGCATTGGTTATCTGTTCAAAGCTGAAGCAAATCGACATATGCTCTCTGCATGATGAACTCGACGAATCCATAATGGGACTCGACGAGTTAAGCCAACTCGACGAGTCCATTCCCTGACTCGGCAAGTTGGATCATGTGTTGGCAGATTTTTCGAGTTTTTGGCCATATTTGGATTAGGATCACTACTAGAAACAGTTTTCACTGATAAAATTCGATTTTTCTGATAAGGTAATGATTATCCTCAACCAAATGAATAATGCTTGTCAAAATTTTAAGATAATTACTTGATTTTCTGAAAGAAAAATATTAATTATTTATGAAATTTGATTTGAATTATCTTTCTATATGAAATTATATTAGGTGAAAATTTGTGATATTGATAAATTATATGATTACTTTAATTGTTTTCGAATTTGATCTAAGAAGTTTTGAAAAGTTTCAAAACTTACCCTCAAGTTTTGGAATTTAAAATTTCATTAAAAGTTTTAATTGTGAAATATTAAATTCTAAAACCCTAGCATTTTAAATGTTTAAAATAAATCCTTTTGGTTTCATAATTTAAATTTAGAATTAAAGGTTTTAATTTTAGAAATTTAAATGGACACAACTAGAAGGAATAATTATGGCCTTATTAATAATTAATTAAAAGATTAATTAAGAGAATATTAATAAATTCATAAGAACATGGTTTCAAATTTTAATCTATTTAAAAAAATTAAACCACCTAGTATTTTAAAAGTTTAAAATACACCCTCATACTGCTATAAGATATAAAGTTTAACTTATATATATGTATAAGACAGTCAGTCTTACAATTAGTAGGCTCACTACTCACGAAACTGATCTATAAGGGGGATATAAGGAAATTGCCTATAAAATGGCGATTGAATGGGTGTCCACTCTCACCCACCGCTTCCTTGATTGGTGGAGGGTCGTTAGCCGAACGGGTAGGATATGACATTAATTCTCATTAAAAAGTATAATGATAATTATAAAAAGTAACTAAATGTTTTTCTAAATTCTCAATCTTAGTTACTTTAGGAAAAATGTGAATTTGATGCTAACCCATGGAATTGCACATTTCATGTTAGTGGAGCGTGTGTGGTTAACCGGCACACTAATATGGGACTAATGAAGGATAGAAATGGGTAGCTCGTAGGTTATCATGGATCAATGAAGCGTGTGTGGTTAACCGACACATTGATTAGGCGATAAATGACTTCGTGAGTACCAAGCTAATTTGCATGGTTATTCGCACCTTGTTTGTGATCCTCGGTATCACAGTCACAAACATGAAGGGCATAATCGAGATTAAACATGCCATTGAAAAGTTCAATGAATCTCAAAAGATCTAGAAATTTCATCTAAAACTTAATTCGTTTAAATTTTCGTTTTCGTGGTGAATTGGTAAATCGTCATTTACCAACTGACAAATAATTTACAATTGTATTACGACATCTATTTTCCGAATTGTGAATTACTGTGTTGGGTCCTAGCCTTGATATTTCATTTGGATGTTATATCAAGGACTAAATCAACTAACTTGAATTTCTCCCTTTTAGAGATGTCTAGTTTTGACAACTATGGTCCTCCCGAATCTTTTGGAAAAAGCTTTCCTCATGAAGATGATGTTCCACGTTTTGATCAAGGAACAATAAATCATACTTCACTTCCTCCACCTCCTCCAATTATTCTCCCTGATCTACGTGTTCGTCGACTTAAAAAGTTCAAGGTCACTCAGGCCTTATTGGTATGCAAGCATCAAGACAGAAGTCATGTGTGTGTGCACATTATGAAAATGAAGCTGCGCATTGACAGACTAGGAATGTTGGGTGTCGCTATTCCAAGGAAGTTGGCTATTGACTTGGTTCTTCAATCACTTCCTAAGTCATATAATGAGTTCATTAATGATTATTGTATGACAGATCACAACGTGACCCGTATTGATCTTACCTATTTGCTAATTGTTGCTGAATCAACAATGATTTGGCACACTGGTAAAGCAAAATTGATTAGAAGATCTACTTCTCATGATTCCATGGACATAGGCAATGACATAGATAGTCTAGAAACAATCCCTTCTCCTATCTGAAGGGAATTGGCCATGGTCAAAATATTTAACCATAAGAGAAAAGCCAGTTTTAAGAGAGTTCCATGTGCGAATGCCAAAAAGTCCACTCGTTTCTACTCCCATTTGAAGGGAATTGGAAGCGAAGCTACCCTAACTACCTGAGAGATCTAAAGGATGGTAAAGTCAAATTGTATGGTAAAGTTGCATTTTGATGTTTTGTAGAATCAAAGAAAAAGAAGGATGCTTAAAGGAAATAGCATGCTGAGTCTAATCATGAAGAAGTGGATTCCAATTGCGTGGTTTAATGATCATATTTTTTGAGCTACTAGGAGTTATGATAGATTGCTTAGGAATATTTATTAACATAGTTTTCATTTGTATTTTCATTGTAAAGACAAGTTTTTCGCATTTTATAAATAAAACAAAATTTTAATTGTATCTTATCTTATATTTCCTTGCAATGGCATTTGTGAAAGTTGTTGTTTATATGTTTCTATTAATAGAAATGTTGAGAATGTTTGATTCTTAGTTATATCGATTGTGGTAGTGTCATAATTTTCTAAGTAAGAAAAGATTCTCATCCCCCACGTTTCAATTAGACAAAAACTTGGAATCATGTGATTTGAATTATATGATGTATGAAATTTTTGGTACTTGGGAAAAATTGAGACTAACTCCTTGTTCGCGTATGTATGTGAGCCAAGTGAAGCACTAAAGGATCTGGGACACTTTGATGTGTACAAGTAAGATCCACCACAAAGAATGATAAAGGATATTTTACATGATTTACTAATGGATCAGTAATGCTTACAAGTTTGAGTATAATTTTAATAACTTGAAAAGTTTCAAAGTATAAGCAGAACAAATATGAAGAATCAATTAGGCAGAAGATAAAAGTTTGTCTAATCTGAAAGGAAAGGAAAGTACTTTAGTATCACGTTTTATGATCATCCTAATGATTATGGAACCATGCCACAATTGATCCTCTAGGGACACCTTAGTGCATAAGTATGACTAAGAAGAGGAATCAGGAATGTTGAAATGGTTAAATCAAGAAAGGTGAGTCATACTTCAGTCCAAAATCAAATCTTCGATTGTACCTTGAGTGACATAATCTTTAGTAGGTTTATAACACTTGTCAAATGTGGAGTAGAAATGTTTCTTACACTTGCACATTTGGAATTGGTAGATGTGATGTTTTGGATAAAACAAAACCAACTAAGACCAATTTTATGAAGTGTTTTCTTGATAAGAAGCTGCACTAACTCTTGAATATTTGTCTGTCAAGGAATGTGTCTCGACAAGGGAATCTTATATGTCGAGAGGTTAGTGGGAGTCTTAATGGTCTTGCATGGTTTCAAGAACTAGTCAAGAATAAACCTTTTATCACTAGCACATGACTTGAGGTTCGTAACCTATCGGGTTGACACATTTTTGTTTATGTGTGATTCCAATTAATTTGACTATGCATGTGAGTTTTATGAGTCCACATTTGATCGCATAAAGCAAAGCATCTTGATCAGTGAAAATACATTGATCTGTGTGAGTGAGCTACTTAATAACTTGGAAGCAATGGTAGGCCCTTGTGCTACCAAATGGCAAGAAATTAAGATTGATCAAGTTCGTTCCATATAAGTTTGAATTTGTTGTAGACCTTATCTTATGATATTGGTTCGAAATGAAAAATTCACATCGATAGGAACACATACACCATAAAATCTAAGTGACATAAGTTTTCTCTCCACTTCATGAATA